ACCCTGTACAAAATTAAAGTTCAAGTGGATGAACGATTTCAACATAAAACCAGACTGTTGCTATAATGTTCTTTTGGAATGTATGTATACACCTTACCCTTGTTCATTCAAATGTTGATTTCTCTCCCCCACTCTCTGGTTTCAATCTGGACATTGCATTGTGATACTTATTCTAAGCATCACCTGCCTCAACTTTGTGTAAACATGCCAAAATAAAACAACCAGCCAAAATGTTGAGCAATGGAGAGGAAGGAATAGGATAGAGAGGGGAGGAGCCAGAGGAGAGGAAGGAGTGAGAGGCAGAGGAGGAGGGGAAGTGAGAGGAAGAGAAACTGGGAGAGCAGAGGCTGGAGAAGGCTAATATCCAGAATATATAAAGAACTCAAGAATTTAAAAAGCAAGAAATCAAGTAATTCAATTAAAAAATGGGATACAGAGTGAAACAGAGAATTCTCAATAGAGGAATATCGAATGGCAGCGTAAAACTTAAAGAAATACTCAACAAGCTTTAGTCATCACAGAAATGCAAAACAACCCTGAGATTTCACCTTACACCCATCAGAATGGCTAAGATCAAAAAACTCAAGTGACAAAACATGCTGGAGAGGATGTGGAGAAAGGGGAACCCTCCTCCACTGCTGGTGGGAATGTAAACTTGTACAACTCTGGAAATCAATCTGGTGATTTCTCAGACAATTAAGAATAGTGCTACTTCAAATTCCAGCTATAGCACTCCTGGGCATATATCCAAAAGATGCTCAAGTACACAACAAGGACATTTGTTCAACCATGTTTGTAGCAGCTTTATTTGTAATAGCCAGAATCTGGAAGCAACCCAGATGTTCCTCAGCTGAGGAATGGATACAGAAATTGTAGTACATTTACACAACAGAATACTACTCAGCAATTAAAAACAAGGAAATCATGAAATTTGCAGGCAAATGGATGAAACTAGAAAAGATCATCCTGAGTGAGGTATCCCAGAAGCAGAAAGACACACATGGTATATACTCACTTATAAGTGGATATTAGACATATAATATAGGATAAACATATGAAAATGTGTACACTTAAAGAAGCTAAGCAAGAAGGAGGACCCTGGGTAAGATGATCAATCCTCACTCAGAAAGGCAAATGGGATGGACATTGGAAGAGGAAGAAAACAGGCAACAGGACAGGATCCTTCCACAGGGGGCCTCTGAAAGACTCTGCCCAGCAAGGTATCAAAGCAGATGCTGAGACTCATAGCCAAACTTTGGTCAGAGTGCAGGGAATCTTATTAAAGAAAGGGGAGATAGAAAGACCTGGAGGGGACAGGAGTTCCACAAGGAGAGCAACAGAATAAAAAAGATGTGGACACAAGTCTTTGTAAGACTGATACGCCAACCAAGGACCAATCATGGAGATAACCCAGAATCCCTGCACAGATGTATCTCATGGCAGCTCAGTGTCCGAGAGGGTTCCCTAGTAAGGGGAACAGGGACTGTCTCTGACATGTACTCAGTGGCTAGTTTTCTGATCACCAACCCCTGTGGGGGGAGCAGCCTTACCAGGCTACAGATGAAGACAATGCAGCCAGTCCTGCTGAGACTTGACAGGCTAGGGTCTGATGAAAGGGAAGGAGGACCTCCTCTATCAGTGGACTTGGGAAGGTGCATGGGAGGAGATGAAGGAGGAAGGGTGGGGTTTGGGAGGTCAGGAGGGAGAGGGCTATGGCTAGAACTTAAGTTAGACACCAACAACCCAAATAATCCAATTAAAAATAAGGTTCAGAAATTCTCAACAGAGGAATATAGATTGGCCGAGTAACACTTAAAGAAATGCTCAATGTCCTTAGTCATCAGGAAAATGCAAATTAAAATGACCCCGAGATTCTACCTTACTCCCATCACAATGGCTAAGATAAAAAACTCAAGGGATGATACATGCTAGAGAGGTTGTGGAGAAAAGGGAGCCCTCCTCCATTGCTGGTGGGAGTGTAACCTTGTACAATCACTTTGGAAATCAATCTGGTGCTTTCTCAGACAATTAAGAATAGTGTTACCTCAAGATCTAGCTATACCAGTCCTGGGCATGTATTCGAAAGTTGTTCAACCATACAACAAGGACATTTGCTCAACTATGTTCAAGCAGCTTTATTCATAATAGCCAGAATCTGGAAACAACCTAGATGCCCCTCAATGGAGGAATCGATACAGAAATTGTGGTACATTTACACAATGGAATACTACTCAGCAATTAAAAACAAGGAAATAGTGAAATTTGCAGGCAAATGGATGGAGCTAGAAAAGATCATCCTGAGTGAGGTAACCCAGAAGCAGAAAGACACATATGTTATATACTCACTTATAAATGGATATTAGGCATATAATATCACATAAACATACTAAAATCTATTGCTCTAAAGAAGCTAAAAAACAAGGAGAACCCTAGGGAAGAGGTTGAAACCTCATTCAGAAGGGCATACAGTATAGACATCAGAAATAGGAGAAGACAGGAGCCTTTCACACGGGGCCTCTGAAAGACTCTACTTAGTAGGATATCGAAGCAGATGCTGAGACTCATAGCCAAACTTTGGGAAGAGTTCAAGGAATCTTATGGAAGAAGGGTGAGATAGAAAGACCTGGAGGAGACAGGACCTCTACAAGGAGAACAACAGAACCAAATACCTGAGCTGCAGAAGCTGACTAATCAACCAAGGACCATGTGTGGAGAAGACTTAGACCCCCCGGCTCAGATGTAGTCCATGGGCAGCTCAGTCTCCATGTGGGTTCCCTAGTAAGGGCAGCAGGGACTGTCTCTGACATAAACTCAGTAGCTGGCTCTTTGATCATCTCCCCTTGGTGAGGTGGCCTAACTAGGCCACAGAGAAAGAGGATCCAGGCAGTCATGATGAGACCTGATAGGCTAGTGTCAGATAGTAGAGAAGAGGGCCTCCCCTATCAGGGGACTAGGGGAGGAAACATAGTGGAGGAGGAGAGAGGGGGGGTGGGACCAGGAGGCAATAAGGGAGGGGGTTACAGCCAGGCTACAAAATGAATAAATTGTAATAAATAATAATAATAAAGAAACCATCTGTTGAACACAGAGGAAACCAGAAAAATAAAAGAAAATCTTTGTCAACTATACATTTGATACATAACCAAGATACACCAAGAATTTTAAAAAGCAAAAATCAGGAAAATAAATCAACCACTTCCAAAATTTGGAAGCTTAGAAAAGAATACAATTTACTTAAATTGATGGGATGTGAATGGTATACATAGACTGAATGAGAGTTTGAGGCATAGAAATCAAAAGCTGGTGAGCCATGGTATTAGGCTTCCACAGAAAAACAATCCTATACCCACATTTAAACACATATATGTGTATGTATGTAGATGTATTCACAGACACAGAGTCATACATCTACTCTCTCTTGACCATTTTTATGTCTTTGCCTTATAAAATTAACATACACAAGAAAAAAACAGGGCAATGAATTTATTAAATTATATATATAAACATATACATTAATATATAATATATTAATCTATATTTAGATACATTATGCATATGGGATTTTCTCATGACAGTACCTGACAGGTCAGTCTACAGTCTACAGTGGCAGTTGGATATGGTGACACATGCCTTTAATCCTAATACTTGGGGAGACAGGAACATATGGATGGCTGTGAGTTCGAGGCCAGCCTGGTCTACAAAACAAGTCCAGGACAGCCAAAGCTACACAGAGAAATCCTGTCTCTAAAAAGCATTAATAATAATAATAATAATCATCATCATCATCATCATCATTATCATCATCAATTCACAATACAGGTGAAGAATGCAGCAGGAGTTGATGATACAGCATGGATTCCATAGCCATGCTGGCAACAGAAGACTTTCTTTCAGAGGCCCTAATACTTAAAGCCTTGAGCTAATCAGAAAAAACTGTTCACACTGAGAGATAATCTGCCTTAGTTCCTGGGTGGTAGATACTAGCTACCTCACCATATTACCCTAGGTTTACCTGCACTAGTATTAGATCAAACATCTGAAAATCATGTCATAGTCAGGTTGACATGTTAAATTAGCCATCTTATTGGCACTGCTTACTATGAAAGAGCTCAGCCTGAAATAAAGATATTGTGCTATGGACAGTAGTAGATCAATGTTTTGGTCTCAAATCTACAAACTTTCTGACCAAATAGAACCACAGAGAGGAGAGAGAGAATATATTCTTTTGTTTCTGAATCAATGAACTGATCCAATGATGGGGTTCCTAAGTGTAAGGAAAGAAGTTGGGAGATAAAGATAAATAAATATTGTAGTCATTATTATATATTGATAAACAAAGATGTTGGGGTGGGGAGAAGTGGCTCTGGCTTACAGGCAGGGCACATTGATTTTACATGGCTCTGGATTCTACTCTGATAATTAAAAAGAAAATGTTTCCTAGGGAAGCACATTATCCAGAATTAAACTCATTCTCCCTCCCCAAGGGACCTCCCTCCCACAAACAGCCAGTGTTAATATAGAGGATTGGAACACAGATCTAATGCCTGTGAGTGTGAAAGATCCATCCAGATAGATGATATTACTGCAACAAAAGTACCTCCCAACAATTTTATTGTCTGTTTCACCTTGTCATTTTTTTTCTCTAAATATTCTTGATTTCAACTATACACACGAGGGCAGTTATTATTGCACACAGACTTAAAAAATTATCCACTAAATAGTTTCTACAGATTAGGAAATGACTTTATAATATGAGTACAACTGAAAAATAATTTTCAGCATATGATTTTGTACAGAAATTTTTTGGTTATTCATGAAATTTATTGAGCATAACATGTTATGGATGTATGATTTAATTTAGGATGTAGTAATACCCTGTAAATTTACTACCAAATTTTAAGTCTGACTAAATATGTGATAACATATATTTCTTTTTATACTATGTCTATGGCATGTCATTACTATACAGCATGGGACAAAATAAGGATTTAGCAGATAGTCTAAGAGAATATTTTCCTGCCAAGTTGTCTCTTCAGAGCACCCTTAATCTCATTGTTCCTGAGGCTGTAGATGAGTGGGTTCAACATGGGGATCACCACCATGTAGAACACAGACACCACCTTGTTCTGGTCCGTGGAGTAGCTGGACTTGGGCATCACATAAATGAATGTGACAGTTCCATAGAACAGAGTGACCGCAGTGAGGTGGGAGGTGCAGGTGGAGAAGGCCTTGTGGCAGCCCTCAGTGGAGCGCATCTTCAGGATGGTAACGAGGACATAAAAATAAGATATGGCTGTGACAAACAGTGTGCTTATAGTGACCGAGACAGCAGAAAATGAGGTAACAACTGCATCAGAACAGGAGAGCTTCACCAAAGGTGCAAAATCACAGAAAAAGTGATTGATTCTATTTGGTCCACAGAAGAGAAAAGAAAAGAAGGAAAGGGTGAAGGAGGAAGCATTAAGAAAACCCCCTATATAAGATCCTACAACCAATTGGATACAGACTTGTGTGGACATTTTGTTTGAATAAATCAGTGGGTTGCAGATTGCCACAAAGTGATTATAAGCCATGGCAGCCAGAAGGAAGCATTCAGGTGCCCCAAAGAAAGCAGCTGAACTGAGCTGGTTGGCACAGTGAAGGTAGGAGATGGTGTTTCTCTCCACCAGCAAGTTGACAAGCATATTGGGTGTGACAGAAGATGAATAGCCTATGTCAACAGAAGCCAAGTGGCTGAGAAAAAAGTACATGGGGTGATGGAGCTGGGAAGAGACTCTGATAAGAAGGATTGTGCTGAGGTTCCCAGACATGGTCACCAGGTAGATGCACAGGATGATGGTGAAGAGGACAATTCTGAGAACTGAGTCATCAGTTAATCCTAATAAAATGAACTCTGTCACTGCAGTGTGGTTCCCATCCTCCTGGAAAGCCATCGGGCAGTGTAGCTGCTGCCAGATTAAGGCTCTGATGGAGATAGTACAGAAAGAGATTCATAAATAAATGCCCTCATTTTCATTAACTCAAACATGAGTTTGTCACTAATTCATGCATCATTTAGAGGGAATTTGACAGTTTAATCTGACAACATTTTAAAGTCGGGACTCTTGGCGTGCATACATTTATGCTCAATTAATGTGATTTAGAATTTTAAACACAAATGCTGGAAAACTTCCATCAAATAATGTATCTTTTATTTTTAATTTATATGTCATAGAATATACCCATGTAGTTTTATATCTTAAGTTTTAAAGTGTGAGAGTTATGTAAATGTCAGAAGTTTTAAATATCACAAGACTTAAAATACATGGATTTCTACACAGTGCATTGGTAGTAAATACTCAATCTAAAAAAGTGAAGAACTTTACCCAACCTCATCCAGATCAAGGCTACATGCACACTTACCTCAAGATTTTTAATATTATATCTTCTGTTTGTCTAAAATATCTGATTCCTGTGATGGTAGAACATTCATTCAATAAGCAAAGCAAGTATGTCCATAAGATATTACCAACAGTATGCCACCAAACCATTTCAAAGATAGTGACTTCATTTGCCTGATTAGTAAGTTCCTATACTGTTAAAGATCATGCTGGATTCTGGATTCATCAGTGGCCAGATAAATAAGAAACCTTTAACAATGGAGGTTACCTGGAGTTTCATGGGAGTTTGAATATGAAAGTAGAAGTTGATTCAGCTAGTTTTTAGTCTAGTTTATTGCCTTATTTTACCTGACTTGTGGATACACTAAAATTTGTAAGTTTAGATGCATTGTTTTAGAAATCAAATATTCTCCAATGATAAAGGTCAAATCAGTAAACCAGATTGACCCACAATTATCAAAACTCCTCTCTTCAAACAAGAATTCATTTCAAAGTAAGACGTTCAAAGTGGTTATGAACTTTATGATTATGAATATCATGCTTTTTATAGCTGCAAAGCTGTCTCTGCTGTCATTGGCACTGAGGGTAAGTCCCTGTTGAGGCTCTGGAATCCAATGTGAATTCAAATCATCAGGGATCGTTACCTCTGTCCCAGTGGGTACTGAGAAGTTTATTTCACACACACACACACACACACACACACACACACACACACACACACAACTACTTTTTAAGAAGTCTGTGAATCTCAAGTGGTATTTTCCTCTTATGTAAGAGCAAACATGTTTTCATTTGATAATTATTCAAATCATGCAATATAAATTATCTCAGGTAAATGGTTTTTCAAGAGACAGTGTATAATTCATTATATTTTTTTACACTGCATTTTTACACACTTCTTGATTATATTGTATGCTAAATCTATGCAGAATATTTAGTTTTATTACTTGAAACTATTTTTAAATTTAAATATATTTTGATCATATTCTCGAGCTTTTTAAATCCTTTCAAATCTTCTCATCCTCCCTACACACCCATCTTTTAAATTATTCTCTAAAAACAAAGCAGAATGCAACAACATATACCCTCCCAAATCTAGGAAACAACACAAAACCACACCCAGAGAGAGAACAAACAAAACAAGAAACTACTCCAATAAAGCAAACCAAAGAACAACATGGAGAGTCCCTCCATGTTGGTCAGCTACTCGTGAATATGAAGCCTGTTCTAAAGCAGTTTATACTCCCAGTGTCACTCTAGTGATGTCAACCTAGAGGCTAGGGTTTAACCCATTCATTTACTCATTTTAAAAACTATAACAAAAGAATATACAATGAGAACAAAAACTATCACTTCCGAGTTGGACAATACAAACTAGAGAAAAGACCCCGGGAGAAGGATCAAAGAATCAGAGACCCACTCATTCTCACATTGAGGACTCTTATAAAAGCACTGAACTAGAAGGCATGGTATGAAAACAGGATCCAGGACAGCAGTACAGATATGGCAGGCCCTGTGCCTGCAGCTGCCGTCTCTGTGAGTTCACATGACACTGTTCACGTTGACTAAGATGGTTTTGTTTGTTTGTTTGTTTGTTTTTGCTGTCCTCCTTCCCTTCTGGCTCTTACAATCTTTCTGCCCTCTCTTCTGAAGGTTCTGAAGAGAGAGAATTGAGAGAGACATCCTATTTAGGGTTGAGTGCTCCAAGATCTCTTAATTCTGCATAATGTCTGGATTTGGGATTTTACATTTGCTTTCATTTGCTTCAAGAGTAACCTTCTCTTAAGATACCCGAAAAATACACTGTTCTAGAAATGTAGCAGAATATCATTAGGAGTCATTTTATCACCACATTTTCTTTCTTCTCTAAGACCAATATTATTTGGTTTTACCCAAGGTTCCTGAGCTATCAAGTCTCAGGATCTTGGTTTCCCCAGCAGTGTCAGAGTTGGCCCTGAGTCAAATCAGCTATTGGTGGGTTACTCCTTCTTACCACCCAATGCTGCCAACTTCATGACTTCCTTCTTTCTTAAAAATAAATAGGCAAATAATAATATAAACAAGAATAAAATAAAAAGAACAAACACAAAAGTGTAAAACATAATATACAAGCAAAAACCATTTTTAAATGTCCCCAAAATCAGAATCAGGAAAAAATATTTCCACAAATGCATTTTAATTTGTGTTGTATTGGCTATTTATCTCTGAGCATGGGATCTGGCATTAAGTCTAGTTTGAATACCCAGTGACTCTCCCATGAACAAACTAACCTTTCCTTTGTGAGTGGTTGTTAATTAGAGACAACTCTTGGTTGGAGTGGGAGCTTCTCTCTACTTTCCTAACTCAGCACTGGAACCTGTGTGGACTCTGAGCATGCTTCCACAATCTCTGTTAATTCATATATACATCAGTCCTGCTGTGTCTGGAAGACACTGTTTCCTTGGTATTATCCATCTCCTTTGGCTCTTAACCTTTCAGCCTCTTCTTCTACATAGTTCCTAGAACCCTAAGAGGAGGAATTTGAAGCAGACATTCCAGTTAAGACTGACTGTTCTCAGTCAGTTTGACTCTCTGTACATTGTTCACTTCTGGGTTTCCTCTACATCAAGAGGAAGCATCCCTGATGATGGTTGAGTGAGACACTGACACTGATCGATGAATACATGTCTACTATGAATAGTAGGATGCTGTTAGGAGTTATTTTATTGCTACATCCCTTTATCAGAACAATAGTATTTGGTTTTTCCCATAGGTTCATGTGCTATCTATCCTCACAATCTTGAACCCAGTGTCAGGGATGGGTTCTGTATCTTGGAGTGGGCCATAAATCCAATTAGGTAGTGTTTAGTTAACACTGACCATTAACACTAACAGTAGGGATGCCTCTAGCTAGGCAACCCAACTTCTCGTTTGGTGAGATATGTAAGTGTTGTCTTCAGCAATAGTGGCTTAACACCAGCTTGTGGAGAGCAATCAGAATTTTTTAAATAGCCTAAGTTGTTTGGGCCCCTTTAGCCAGAAACTCAACTAGATATAACCCGCTTTTGGCCCTGGAAGTTTTACTTGGTGCAAGAGATATCTAGATATCTAGATTTGTCTCCTCATTATTTGGTGAACTCATTTAAGTTTCTTTCGTGTATGTATATATTTAAAGAAGTAGTAGGTTTTCATATGACACCTCAGATGGCCATTAGGGTTAGTTGCCTTTTCTGCGTTCTTTCTCTTACCTCTACAAATTCAATCCATTTGTTCCAGTGTCCTTCCACTTTATCTCTAACTATACACAGTCAATTTCTCATTTCTCTGGAGACCCTTTTCTCCACTCTAGTTCCTTACTATATACCTAACTTCTGTGGTTATTCAGATAAAAGTATAGCTGTGAAAGGCTTAAAGGCTAACATCTGCAAGTAAGAGAATACATACCAAATATATCTTTTGGGGTTCTGTTCACCTTAATCAGAGTGTTTATTTTTAGCTCCATCTATTTACCTTCAGATCTTATGATTTTGTTTTTTTTTTAAACATCTGGAGGATATTACATTGTGTAAATGTACCCTATTTTACTATATATTGGTTTGTTAGACATCTAGGCTAACAAATTCTAGAATTCTGGAATTCTAAATTCTAGCTGTTATGAATAGAGTAGTAATGAACATGAATGAGAAAGTGTCTCTGTAGTAGGATGCAGAATCCTTTGGGAATACACTCAAGAGTAGGTTGAACTTCATAGCAGTGTGCCAGGCTGTGTTAATGGAGTTATATGTCTATGCCAAAGATTGTATTGGAGCTAAAAATTCTGAGACCAAGATTCCGGGGTACAAGAAACTAGTGAAATTCAAAAAGTAAATTTCTACTAAGAAATTTGAGTTTTTCAAGATGCACAGCAAGTGGCTGCACAAGAATAAGCTGAAAATCTGAGTATAGATTTTAACTTTTTGTAGTTCATTTGTCAGAGTTAGGTAATTTTATGTCATTGAGAAGAGAGTGAAAATACCTTTAGCACAAGAAGACTTTAGACTAATCTAGGAAGACATTGTCCTCTACTATAAACAACAGTCAAAACTTCATTCTGTTTTCCTGTGTGACTGACCTGTTTTGGCAAAGTATTCTACTTACTCAGTGATTAACCTGATTATCCGATTTCTTGAACTCAAACATAAAATGGTTTTTATAGGAAGATATGTTTATCTCATTTCTATAATAGTTATCTTCATTGTTCATCATTCAATAATTTAAAAATGACAAGGGATGGCAAAAGTAGGGCCAAATTAAAATAAATCAGGCATTGAAGACACATACACACAGGGGAAGGGGAGAAGGAGAAAGGAGGGAAAGGGAGAGAATAGAAGGAATGAAGGGAAGACAATGGAGGAGGAGAAGGAGAAAAAGGCAGGAAAACAAGAGAGAGAAAAGGGTAAAGTTGAATCTGAGAAAGGAAACCTAAGTGAGAGATTCAGTATGTATGTTACTCCATCACAGCAGAAATAGGAATTTGTAACTGAAAGATGTATCAATAGAAAAACAAATATTACAGGATGAAAATGCTGTCCAAG